GTCATTTCGAAAAGAATTTAATAGTATTACAATCCTAAATTTCAATATTATACTTCCTTTCCATATTATTAGAGGCACTATAAGATTCTATGTAAAATCTTAATTATCAGGTGATAACTATACAGCTTTATTGCTTGTTTTCGTTCGCGAATCAATGAGTTAAGACGCCCGGTGGCTGAGCGTGCCACAGGTCCCTGGTTCAATCCTCTGGCCGGGCAAGGTTGACTCAGCCTTTCATCCCTTCAGTGGGTCGATAAATGAGTACCAAGCATGCTTGGGAACTAAACACTGGGGGTTCCGGGTTCGGCCAACACCTCCTAGAAAAGAGTAGGCCTCTGCACGGGTTACCATAAATATCCTTTAGTAGTCCAAACGTAACGACATATGTCTTATTTTCAACCACTGCGCAGCTTAGTACCCCGAACGTAATGACATCTTTCTTGTTTTTCATCTATTGCGCAGTTAACTTCGTCACATCGGACTACTAAATTGATCCGTGCTGAGGCCTTCATACTTCTAGGAGGTGTTGGTTCGGCTGACCACCTGACCGGATTATATGCTCCTGCACCCCAGAGCCCAAGGTCAAGAAAACTGAGATGGGCACAGTAGGACTTGGCCCTCTATGGGCTGTCGCGCCACTGAGTTTAGTTTAGTATCAATGAGTTAAATTAGACGATATATAATATAAATTTGACGGTTGGATCAATTAGACGATATATCATATAAATTTGACGGTTGGATCAACTAGACGATATATAATATAAATTTGACGGTTGGATCAATTAGACGATATATCATATAAATATAGTATATTTATTATATCAGGTATTATATTAGTTTATTATAATAATGAGACCAAATGATTAGACACACTGTAGTGTTTTAATAATTACATATTTTGCACGAATTTATATGCAATACATTTATATTTAAACATGCATGGAATGGGTTTTTATTCGGGAGATTTTTTACATACTTCCCATTTGTATTTTTTTTTAATGTGTTGCATTACAATGTTAACCAAGTCATACACGAACGTAAGCAAGTGCAAACCGGTTTCAGCGACGTAAAAACAATAAAGCTGTACAGTATGACCTGATAATTAAAATTTTACAAAGAATATTACAGTACGTCTGATAATTTGGTATGAAAACATTCAAAAAGAGAAAGTTCAGACACAGGTGATAAAGAAGAGACCAATTTTAAATTCTCTTTCATATTTTATATGGTTTTCAATTCAATACAAGAATTATGTAAAGATTTCAGATTTTATTTTCCAAACCAACACTTTACTTACTAAAAAGATTGAAGCATTTTATATAATTTTTTTTATTTATTTAAAATGTCAGTACGATTCTATATATATCATATTTTTCAGATTGGAACTATTAGGTTTTGATAAAAAAAAAGACATTAAGATAAACACGCATTGTTTGGCCAGAATTTAATTCGAAGATTCGACCAATCAAAGATTGTGTTAGAACATGAAAGATTTTTAATAGGGGAAGAAATAGGAGGGTGTTTTTGATTGGTTTAGAAAAAGGAATTCGTGATTTTATAAGAGCAAAAATGATTCTTTGAACATCTAATCATTTATTTGTGGGAACGAAAGTAAAATGGTGCGTGAAATGACTACACGAAGAAAAAGAAACTTAAATTCCATTTATCTTAAAATTAGTTTCTCTCGAGTAATTTCATTGGGTAACCCCCACACATATACTTTCGATTTTTGATAATTTTTTTGTTCATTTTTTTTTGAAGCTGGCATATAGAACAGACGATTTAAAATAGCTTATTTGAGATAAAAAAGAAAAAAAAATTTGCGAGACGAATGTAAGTTCTTTTTCTTCTGCAGAACGTCGACGAGAAATCGAAGTTAATTGGCGGATGACAATGTTTTTGTTCCATCACGCAGTTTTTCCCTAAAATTATTACTTTGCTGTTGAAAATTGCCTTAATATCTAATTAATGCAATACCAACAGAGTTTTCTATACTGATTACCCTACCAAGTCAAAATTTTTGATTGCTTTCCATTGATGAACCAACTTAATATTGATGGTAACCATCAATTATTCCATCATGCACCTTTATATTTTTTGATTGTAACCAACATACGTAACCATCATCACAATGTAGGAATTCAGGCTGATTTATGATAGCCCAACATAAGAATAGCAACTTGTTTTGATCCTTTATTCATGCTAAACCATCAGAAATTTCCATCATAATTTCTTAGAAATCAAATGTTGGAATGATTATGAATAACCATCATCTCAGTGTTAGAATTCGAACTTATCTATGATGGACCTACATAAAAAAGCAACAAATTGTTTTGATGCTTTATTCCATCAAAGCAATTTGATTTTTTCCAATAAACCATCATTGAAATGCATAGTTGGAAGCATCATGGACCATCACGGATCATCATGAATTGTTGGTCCATGACAATCATACTTCTCTTGATGGTTAACCATCATAGTATTTGAATAGCATTTTCCGTCCTGGAATCATGGAAGTTTGCAAGGTATATCAAAAACCATGAACCCATAATCGAAAATGTTGGATGATGGTGACCATCAAATAATGTTGGACCATCATGAATCGAACTGAAACCATCAATTTGAATTGTTGGGACCATGAAAACTTTTGACTTGGATAAATACATACGTTTTAAGTCAAAACTAAAGCCAGACTTAGTACTTTTACATCGCACTAGAGCTGCACAATGAGATATTGTAGACTGTCTGCGAAACATCACAGAGGATTAACCGGTGGCAACATACATACGTCACCTCACGTTTTATAGAAAGGTTCACACATCATCGATCCATCCGCAGATCGTCATTTTGACATGAGCCAGAGCATGATCAATCTTGCACCCAGTACCCCCAGAGGCATTGATTTGTTATGGGAACTTGGTGAACTTTGCATCCCTGATAGAATTAGGTTGCACTAGTCACCATTTCGTACACTTCGCCACTCGGGGATCGAACTCACGACCACTCAGACATGAGTCCAATGCCCTACCAACCAGGTTAAACCGGATCCTCATTCCTATTGCAAATGCTGTTAACCAGCAAGGAATGGACCGGTCGACTGTTAATTTTTATATTATTTTTTTGACTGTCTCGTTGTTTTAATCTTATTTTGAAATGCATAAATCCATTCATTTGTTATCGTCATGCTTCGTAAACTCTCATAAAAACGTGGTGATTTTTTTAAAGACATATATATTTTTTTTAAATTTTTTTTTTTGGCCGAAGCAAAGTTGATCATTAGATAATACTAATTGAGTTTTAAGGGACAATCCGTTATTGTGTCATTATTTTTACCAGGAAAATTATCGATAAAAAAAAACAATGGTTGATTTTTGTGAGTGACTCGATAATTTTATCATCCTCTTATTCGGTTTTCGAATAGCCAACGAATCCGTCAATGAAGCAGACGCGATTACACTGGTGTAAGAAACTGAGAGAATTTGCAGATTCGGTTGTTTATCTCTAGAATTACTGGACCGATTTTAATGAAATTTGATTTGTACATGCATTGATACAATACAAAACAAATAACCATTCAACAATTGAAATACACACGCATGCACGTGCGTAACACTCCTTGGAGTCGGAGGGTATGAAATTGCCAGAGGACAATTCAGGCCAATTTCCACAGGAAATAATAAACTGCCTTATTTCAAGTATGAAATTACGCTGCAAGCCCTGTATATCTAGCTATATGAGGGGATCCATTAACAATTTTTTTTTGTTTATTCTGCAACCGCTGTTTCATAACTTCCGACTCCAACGAGTAGAGCAGTATAACAACTGTTGAATAATTATTTGCATAATTTATTTCTAATTTAATTCCGCTTAAAAAAATGACACCAGAAAATAGACCTTACATGCCCAGATAGCAATTCAACGTGGGCGTATCTAAAGAAGTATTTTAAATACATAAAATCCCTTGCAAAGTATGTCCTCTATTAAAATGTGTGTAGTTTTATTCGATTTAGCGGAAAAATACATAAATACAATGCATCAATCGTTTTGATAGCAATGCGTGAAGAGGTACAAGTACAAAAATGTACTTTTTTTCCTTTTACCATGATGACATCTAAATTATGAGTCAGCGTAAAATAATAGATCGGAAACCTCACTTGCCTGTCTAGAAGAAATTCAGTTCACCCACTGAAATGATCCCCAATTCCCTTTTAAACGGGGTAAGTGTACAGAGAAGAATGCAGTTTGTCTACGGTAAGAACTCCCCCCGCCACATATTCTGAGGACGTCTGCTGGTAGCATCTCTTCACTCTAGAACTAACGCTCCTGGAGTGAGCCCATTGGCAAAATGGTTGTTGTTTAATTTTTTTGCACTCTTTATTTGTGATATTAACCTAAATTAGTATTGAAAACGATCCAGTTTGAGCTGTAGGTAATAATTTATGATTCTTAAATAAAACAATAAAAACGAAAAAATATCGTTCAAATGATGAAATTTTGTTTTATACACAACTCAAGAAGTATCTTTCTGGTCCCATATCTCAAAAATAAACCCATCAACTTAATGCATAACAAAATTAAAAGTGAAAAAATGAATTTTAAAAAAATTGTCAAACAGCAGCGGTCGCCATAGCAAAGCATGAGCACTGTTTACTATTACTCTTGAACACAGTTGAAAAGTGTGATGACGTCCAAATAAGGTGCGCAAGCCATCAAACCCATAACAACACCCACTTTGCCAATGGAGAACAAATAGCTCGTGCTACTGAAAAACAAAAATATTATTCACGCGAAAACAGACTCTTTTTCTTCTTTCGTTTCCAGGAAATTCTTGGTGAAGGGTAACGTGAATTGATTTCTACAGTTTTCTGCGCAAAAATAAAATCTATTTCAAATGTGATGAAATATATTTAAAAAAAAGCACCTGAAATAGAAGCAATGTCCCCCCAAAAAGAATATTTTCTTCTTTCCAATCGAAAGAAAGAGATAAAAGAAAGAGATACCTATCAAAGGCACAGCATCGGAGGTGGGGGGCATCGTCTCTGCGACCAACAAAAGGAAGACTGTCAGAGACAGCAGAATAGTCACACCTACAAAAACAACATAGAAAATAGTATTTTTACTTGATCCACAAATGGTTACTTACATTTTGAACTTCTTTTTTTTATATATATCTAAGTTGGGGTTTTCCTGTCAGATGAATAAAACATCTTTAAAGATGAAATACACAATTAAAATATTCGAGATCAGGGCTCGAAAAAACTCAGAAATTTCACCCGTCCCCGAGGACGGCTTGTCCAATAATGTACCCGTCCTCCTTTGAAACTAACCCGTCGCTTCTAAATAAATTAAAACATAATTTTCTCTTATTTATTACTATCATTTATATAAATTACACAATGAATTAGTAGTTACTAGGATTACATTATACAGTAATAAAAGAAATACTAGGTTACTAATAGTTAAGGCCCGGATTTTGATGACATTTGCATTTTCCTGCATTTTTTGCATTTTTGGACATTTTTTGTCTTTTAGAGCATGTTTTTAGATTTATCGGGCATTTTTCTTTAAATTTTGGGGCATATTTTGCATTTTAATGAATTTTTTAAAATTTTTTGTTAATTTTTTCCAATTTTTACTATTTTTTTTTATCAATTTTCATTATTACACTGGCTTCCAAACAATGAAGAAAATCTATAGAATATTAACAGGTGAAGCAAAATCTTCTCAAATTGAAGAAAAATTGTAAGTAAGAGAGACCGTCTTTTTCAAGTACGCACCTATAACATCAGTAGACGTTGAAAGAAGCTTCTGCAGGAATGAAAATTTACTTTCAGACAAGAGACGCTCGTTTACATTTCAAATTATCAAAAAACATTTAATAATCCAATGTAATTCTGATATTTAGTAATATTATGAGATGGAAGTTGTTATATCCATTAGGTTTCTATACAAAATAAAAATTTTTTGGTGTCAATATATTTTCCTTTTTTTGTTATTTTAGGATATAAAACATATTTTTCAAACATTAATGAACGTAGAACAAGTATTGCATCGCTTTATATTTTTAAATGACTCATAATAATTTTAAAGACNGTGTCAATATATTTTCCTTTTTTTGTTATTTTAGGATATAAAACATATTTTTCAAACATTAATGAACGTAGAACAAGTATTGCATTGCTTTATACTTTTAAATGACTCATAATAATTTTAAAGACCAAAATATTTTCTTAATTCAATATTTTTACTTTATTTAAGGCATTTTTTGCGCAATTTTTGCATTTTTAAGGGCATTTTTGGCTCTTTTTAAGGGCATTTTTTCCACATTTTAAGGGCATTTTTGGCTTTTTTTAAGGGCATTTTTTCCACATTTTAAGGGCATTAGTTGAGATTTTTTAGGTCATCAAAATCCGGGCTCTACTAATAGTAAAATCTAGTATTTCTTTTACGAAATAATTTATTTCTTTTATAAAATAATTTAAATGACAAAGGTCAATTTATCTGGAATGTCAATTTCTCCGAGGGTACTGCGTTTTTTAAATGAATCAAATAGGACGTTTGCCAGTTCCACAATCAAGCCTATGATATACAGAGATTTCGGCACAGAAATCTGAAAGGGGTTTTCAATTTAGGTGGATGTTCATAATTGCGTTTAACGCTTACGTAATGTGTTTTTTTGTAAGTTCATTGCTGAAAAGTCCCTTTCAACTGCTGCAGTACTCCCAGACTAAAAAAACATTATTCCACCATGCGCAGTATGTTGCTGTACGGGATTTCTAGATTAGAGGGTCATTTTAGAAGTGAGGCGCTCATTTAGACTTTTGTAAGATAACAAAAATTGAAAGTGTATCGAACGTTAACGGGAAAATGACCGTCCTCTCGGACGTCTGATTCGAAATTCGTTGTCTGCTGGAAATTTTTGACCGCCGAGGACGGGCGGTTTTTCGAGCCCCGTTCGAGATAATTCTTAGTAAAATACATGAGAGTAAAAAGAATAAATTATTTGAACCAACTCAGAATATGGTTTATTTTAAGAAATAATGACGCAAAATAAGGTTTATTTTAATTCAGCAAAAACCTTTTAATGTAAACCTAAAAACGATTGTGATGCGGTTTACGTGTAAACCTTCTAACCTTAAAACGAGATTTTTGTCAATCTGATCCATTCTACGCACATTACCCTAATTCCAAACCCTGGAAAACAACCTTCTATCTAAAAACCTTAAATCGAGGTCGATTTATGGTTTCAAGGGTGAAAAAAAACATCCTTGAATAAAGCTAGTAATAAATACTCAAGGTGAAAATAATCTTAAATCTAGGTCATTATAAGGTTTTTTTTCGCAATGTCTTGCATGCTCAGCTAAAATCCACCTTGTCTTGAAATTTTAATGGACAATGTAATTGGGTATAATATAAAAAAACACAACTACTTCCACTTAGTAGGAATAACATTTACCATGACGCAATGCTAANATTCAGATTTTGAATAATTATTCATTATTCTGAATGACAAATGCTCATCTCCGATTTTTGACCGCCGAGGACGGGAGGTTTTTCGAGCCCTGTTCGAGATAATTCTTAGTAAAATACATGAGAGTAAAAAGAATAAATTATTTGAACCAACTCAGAATATGGTTTATTTAAACAAATAATGACTCAAAATAAGGTTTATTTTAACTCAGCAAAAACCTTTTAATGTAAACCTAAAAGCGATTGTGATGCGGTTTACGTGTAAACCTTCTAACCTTAAAACGAGATCTTTGACAATCTGCTCCATTCTACGCACATTACCCTCATCCCAAACCTTGGAAAACAACCTTCTATATAAAAACCTTAAATCGAGGTCGATTTAGGGTTTCAAGGGTGAAAAAAAAACATTCCTTGAATAAAGCTAGTCTCAAGATGAAAATAATCTTAAATCTAGGTCATTATTATAAAGTTTCTTTTCGCAAAGTCTTGCATGCTCAGCTAAAATCCACCTCATCATGAAATTTTAATGGACAATGCAGTTGTGACGTCATCGCTAGTGTGACGTCAACTAAAACGTCATTATGGACCTAAGTGGCAATACATTTAAAAAAAATATTTACAAAATAATTTTCAAACCTTTTAGGATGAAAGGTTTGAAACTGCAACATTTTTCCTTCATTGAAAAAAGGTTTTTAGTGCAAACATTTTTGTGACAATAAAAAGAAAATTCCGAGACAAGGTTGACACAAGGTCATACATGATTTCTGGAAAGGTTTATCATTGATTGCAACTGTTTAAATAAAAGCTTGCCTATTACCAAAATTTAATCTGACGGATCTTCTCGATTTTATTCAAATCATTCAACGCTATCAAAATAGCAAAACAAATTAAGTTAGACAACATATTAAATTTTAACATTTAGAAAAGTTACTTAATAATAGACACTAATGAATTAACAAACAATAGAAACCAATGAGATAACTTTATTCATTCACTGAAAGCTACCAAAATATCAAAACAAATTAATCCTGTACGTTATGCAACGCATTGAATTTTAAATATCTGGAGATGTGACTTAGTTTATCACAAAGATAGTTTCTATAATTAACTTAATTTATATAGTTATTAAAATGTTGGGAATATTGTTTAATCAGTCATATGTTTTGCAAATACGATGCTCTAGTCCAGGGATGGGCAAACTTTTTTGGTCGTGGACCAAAAATCTGGAGAAAAAAAATTTGGTGGGCCGAGTAAGAACTTCTAAAATAACTCAAAAAGGCAGTAGCCATTTCATACATTTAATAATTTCACCATTATTTANCATCATTGAACGCATGGCACTCTACATCAACTTTGCATTTTTTGGTTGCCATTTTGGGATTAAAAATGTTTATAAATAACTCAAAAAGGCAGTAGCCATTTCATACATTTAATAATTTCACCATTATTTACAATGACGTTGTATGTGTGCAGCCTTTCCATACGCTGTAAATTATGTCAGAACTCACGCCGGAAGAAAAATCCGCTCGTTGGAACTTAAAATGCGTAGTAAGTCTCATGTGAAGTACAATACACCTATATTAGATTCCATATGTCTGCTCCTCGAGAAAGACAAATACTAATTGGAGCTAATCTACGGCTATTCTATAAGGGACTTTTGCTTTCAACATTTTATCAATTGAAACTGTTAATACTATTTTAATTAATTTATGTTTTGTAGAACAAAAATAGAGAAAGTAAAAAGTTAAAATTCTGTCCGCGGACCAGATAAAATCTTCCGGCGGGCCACAGTTGTCCCGCGGGCCGTAGTTTGCCCATCCCTGCTCTAGTCCATAATAAAATCAGATACAAAGCAACTTTGGAATAATTTTGATTTCGACCTTTAAATATTATATATTTTAAACTAATCACTATTTGTTATAAATTCTCTTTAATGTTTTTATTGATTTCATTATTATAATATATTACTAAAGTTGTATAAGTAATTATTAAAAAAGTATCTCTAACTTATGAAAACTGTAAAACCTTTCCATTTCCAAATATTTATTTTCCATTGAAAAAAAGTAATAAAATTTGCAATCAAAATAACGGAGCAGAAAAGTTTTTTTATTTTGAATATTATAATTAAAATGCTTTACTGATTCCGTGTGGTAACATCACTGGGGATGAATTAGTAAACGATATATATATATATTCGAGAAATTCGTTGTCTGCTGG